TGTACCTGTAGCAGTACAACACTTGGTCAAGCTTATGTTTCTTCGTCTTTCGTATTCGATCGGGGGAAACGTCGGGCTATTCTTGTCATGGGGACGTCTCCAACGGGAATAGGTCGGATTCGAGGGCGAATCCTGCTCAATCGGGGTAGAATGGTGCAGAATAATAATTATGATTATTATTACTGTTATTATTATCATTATTAGTAGTAGTATTTTTATTATAATATTTTATTATTATTTCCTTCTTTCTAGTTGGTAGGAGAATATTTATTTATTTGGTATTTACTTGTTTAGCAAGATAGAGATTTAGACTTGAACTCTATATATTGTGTCTTTCTCCCTTCAAGCCGATGGGCTATCTTTGAATAAACTTATCGTATTTTAAGTTTTTATATCTTATTCCCTTTTCGTTTATCGTTGTGCTACATCAATATGTGATAGAATTGATTCGTTCAACTATTAAGTTGTTTGACACAATAAATTGTGTTTAATTATTTTTTTATTTACAATTCGAATGAGTGAGTTAATTTGTAATTTGCTCATGCATATTTCGGTCTACGTATGGATGGATAGTCAACAAGACAAAAGAATGCGCGATTTTTTTTTTTAAGAATAAAGATTTGTTTGTTATTAAAGATAAATAGTTAATTTTCTTCTGATATTTTAGAAAATTGGGTTTATAGTTTTTGAAAAACTGAAACAGTTGGGTTATTAATAAATCAAATGATTTAAGCTCACCCTCTTGATTAAATGATTTTTTGAAGATGCATAAAAAAATATTTTGGTATATAATTAGTTACCAAATGAATGAGAGATTGTTGGGGTTTGTTATTCAATGTTGATAAATAAGATTCGATTGTAATGTTATGATACATATCATAATAAAATTTTTATAATTGTTTTTTCACCTTTTATTTTGTAATTATATTTACAATCTTATCGTGTATATTTAAATATTATTTTCTAAAACTGAAGTATATATAATTGACGTCTTTTGAAGACATGTTATATGGTTGTTTAGCAAAAGATTAATAAATTGCAATAATTCGTAATTATGATGAAGAATCAAGTTTGTATTTGACTTATACATATTAGCAAATAAATAAAATATAATGAATGCATGAGTATAATGTTATGCAAAAAATTTCATCAAATGGTTATTAAATTATATCTACAAATTTCTACCATACTTCTAAGAAAGTTAAGGAAAATCAGGATAAAATGGTGAATTTTCGATAATTATCACAAAATAATTTCAAAATTGACACCTCTTTATTTATATAGAAAGTCATAATATTAACCGAATTACACGATTTACAACATGCAGGTATAATTTGATTTTCGGTGTATTTTTATAAATATTAAAGTAATTTTTATTATATTTCCTTTAATAGTAAGTCAACTAATTTAATTATAAAATCAAGGTTACTATTTTAGATTATTTCATTAACCTCATTCAATATATATAGATATTTAATAAGAAATAGTCATTAGTTATCATTTTGTTCTAATTGACTCATCGTGTGACGAATGATAATACATATATGTAGAAAAATTTATTTCATAAATAAAAGTACGACATTTTATATCATATATAAGTCATTTTTTTAGAACCAATATGAATAATCTTTCTTTTCCCCTTTTTACAAACCCTTGTTGAATTGTAAATGAAAAGCTTAATGGCATATTGTATATTCACTTATTTTCCACAAAGATTCCTAATTAGGCCTAATCCTTATCTAGCAAACCCCACCATTAGACCAAACTCAATAAAGGATGTATGAGGTTGATAATGTACTACCATCCCCTGCAATTATTAATTGTGGATGTCTCCAAAGTATGGTCATTATGTAAATAAAAAAAGATAAATTAGTATTATCAACTAACAATATAATTATAAGATAAAGGCAAATTATCAAGGACCCCACATTTTTAATTAGATAAAATTCTGAGTTG